CACACGTTCACCTGTGGCTATTTACATAAAATACACATGATTTTGATGCTTTACTCTCATTAATACCGATTTTGTTAAACATTTGTGTCATATTCAATGAATCGGATAAAATTAAATATATTAAGAGCATTTGTAGGAGATTCTCTATTTAAAAATAAAATTTTATGTATAATAGTGATCATCTTTGAATTTGTAGAGTAAATTATTTTATATACGCAAACAATGTGATTTATTTTGATTCTTCATTTTGCTTTTCTCAATAAATGTTTATTGATAGGAATTTAATTAATTTGAATTAATAGATATAGAAAATAATAATTTATATACATTTAGACAAAGGATGTTATATCATAGATTAAATGAATAATATCAAAAATTAATAAGTGTACATGAACTTGAATAATTTATCTACTCCTATAGTAATTGATGAATAATTTATTTACTCCTAGAATAATTGAATAGCCCACAAAACATATAAAGTGTACATGAACTTGAAGACTTGATATGATATTTAATATATCTATAAATAAATGTTAATTACTATACATATACATACATAAATAATTGAATTGTGATACTTCAAGATTAATTATATAGCCCCAAAACATATAAAGTGTACATCAACACGAAGAATTGATTGATTGCATTATAGTATGGAATATATAAATAAATGTTAACTATTATAAATGCACGTAAATAAATAATTGAATTGTATAAAAAGTTCATTCACATAAACAATTCTTAACTATTTTTTTTATATTAGTGCATCGTCAAATATTACTTTTATGACACTAATAAAGCATTTCGAAATTACGTGCAACACACGTTCACCTGTGGCTATTTACATAAAATACACATGATTTTGATGCTTTACTCTCATTAATACCGATTTTGTTAAACATTTGTGGCATATTCAATGAATCGAATAAAATTAAATATATTAAGAGATTTGTAGGAAATTCTCTATTTAAAAATAACATCTTATGTATAATGGTGATGATCTTTGAATTTATAGAGTAAATTATTTTATATACGCGAACAATTTGATTTATTTTGATTTTTCGTTTTGCTTTTCTCAATAAATGTTTATTGATTTCTCCTCATTTTTTTGTTTAATATATATTTATTTGTCAATGATAAATCAATTCAAATATGATCTCTGATTCATTGTAATTATTATAAAGTAAGAATTGATAATGAGTCTCTCTATATTTTAAAAAGTAAAAATAAAGAGACTTTTGAAATTTATTTTTAAATATTTTCTCTCTAAAATTTTAAAATAAAGAGCATCTCAAATTTAAAGAGTTTCATAAAGATGATCTAAGTAATATTTAATTCTGATTTTTGTTCGTTTTCTCAATCTGTTCAATGTAATAAATATTTTCATTTGCTTATTATTATACGCTGGACATGAAAATATGAAATTCATATAAGATTGATTGAATAAAACTTTGATGAAAATTTGATAGGGTAAACTTCATCATCAATCGCTAAACTTTAAGCATAATCTCAATTCAGTCATGCAACTTTAATTAGCCTTGATAGGGTCGTTTAATATCAAATTTCATCACTTTGTCATATTATAACACCCAACATTTTTGAAACTAACGATATTATTTAGTTGATAATCATACTATAATTTATCTTCAAAGTACACTACAAACTTTTATAAAATTATAATGTTGGAACTGAGTGATTGATTATGCGAAATTGTTCCTAGTCTAATACGATAGATATCGAACACCTCTTATATTATCTTAGTGAAAATGATACAGTGATGAAATAATCTACTAATGAAGAGATTATTAAAGTGGTATTGAATATGTCTACTAAAGACGATCATACTTTAAATGTTAACTGTATTTTACCAACTGTTTCTTCGAATGAAGCCTGAACTTAAATAATTAATTTTTACAAATAAAAAAAGAAAATGTAAGATGTGGATTGCAAAAAATAAAATAAAATATGTTAAGTTCGACTTGAATGCAAAGAAAAGCAACTTTGGATGCATATTCTCAAGGAAAAAAATTGAATTGAAAAAAATGGATGTTGTTAAACGAAAGTTCTTAATTTGGGTGATATAAAATTTTACATATTCAACGAAATATTATTTTATATTTTCCGATACTAATAAAGCATTTCAAAATTACGTGCAACACACGTTCACCTGTGACTATTTACATAAAATACACATGATTTTGATGCTTTACTCTCATTAATACCGATTTTGTTAAACATTTATGGCATATTCAATGAATCGAATAAATATATTAAGAGATTTGTAGGAAATTCTCTATTTAAAAATAACATCTTATCTATAATGGTGATGATCTTTGAATTTATAGAGTAAATTATTTTATATACGCGAACAATTTGATTTATTTTGATTTTTCGTTTTGCTTTTTTCAATAAATGTTTATTGATTTCTCCTCATTTTTTTGTTTAATATATATTTATTTGTCAATGATAAATCAATTCAAATATGATCTCTGATTCATTGTAATTATTATAAAGTAAGAATTGATAGTGAGTCTCTCTATATTTTAAAAAGTAAAAATAAAGAGACTTTTGAAATTTATTTTTAAATATTTTCTCTCTAAAATTTTAAAGTAGAGAGCATCTCAAATTTAAAGAGTTTCAAAAAGATAATCTAAGTAATATTTAATTATTGAATGCAAAGAAAAGCAACTTTGGATGCATATTTTCAAGGAAAAAAATTGAGTTGTAAAAATGGATGTTGTTAAACGAAAGTTCTTAATTTGGGTGATATAAAATTTTACATATTCAACGAAATATTATTTTATATTTTCATTGGACCTAAAAGGATTTTAAATAAAATTATTATTTTATGCATTTAGTCAAATTGTTGATTTGGTATACTAACATGAGTCAGGATCAGAAAATTTATTATTTATAAGAAGTTATTAATTTATCAAACATTCAATATTCAATTCATTTTTAATATAATAGTTACACGAAACCTCGAAAATAAAAGTATAATAGGGGTTATGTCAACATCTTTATTTTAAAATGTGTATTTTTTGTTTAATACTTTTACGATGTTATGTATTATGTAGCGATAAATTGACATACCTTATATCGGGTAATGAGAAGATCGATTTTAGTATTATTTCATCCTTTTCCGAAGACCTTGGTGAACTGTGATGAATTTTATAGCTAAATTAAATTTCAAAGATCCAAAAATATTTTTGAAACACAAAAATGATATTTATAAGAAAAAATATTGAACAACTATTTAACATTAATCAGTATAATTACCTAAGCATTGTTGACCTACGTATAGGTAAAAGTCCCCACTAAGCTCCGATGGACCCTCGTTAAATTACGAGTATGTTTGGGAGTGATTTTGAAAATTGATTTTTTGACAATTAGGAAAAAAGTAGGGTTCACCTATGAGAGAAGAAGTCAAAAATGATGACTGAAATAGTAAAATAACGGTCAAAAAATCACTCCCAAACTTGCTCTACATTTCATTACATTTTATTTTTTTTCTTCTATTTTTAACAATACAATTTTCTATAAAATAATATTATAAAAAATTTTCCTTTTTTTTAATTATTTATTTTTCAAAAAAAATATTATTCTACTCATTTTCATTTCTAGAAATTGTTCCTAGTCTAATACGATAGATATCGAACACCTCTTATATTATCTTAGTGAAAATGATACAGTGATGAAATAATCTACTAATGAAGAGATTATTAAAGTGGTATTGAATATGTCTACTAAAGACGATCATACTTTAAATGTTAACTGTATTTTACCAACTGTTTCTTCGAATGAAGCCTGAACTTAAATAATTAATTTTTACAAATAAAAAAAGAAAATGTAAGATGTGGATTGCAAAAAATAAAATAAAATATGTTAAGTTCGACTTGAATGCAAAGAAAAGCAACTTTGGATGCATATTCTCAAGGAAAAAAATTGAATTGAAAAAAATGGATGTTGTTAAACGAAAGTTCTTAATTTGGGTGATATAAAATTTTACATATTCAACGAAATATTATTTTATATTTTCATTGGACCTAAAAGGATTTTAAATAAAATTATTATTTTATGCATTTAGTCAAATTATTGATTTGGTATACTAACATGAGTCAGGATCAGAAAATTTATTATTTTCAAGAAGTTATTAATTTATCAAACATTCAATATTCAATTAGTTTTTAACATAATAGTTACACGAAACCTTGAAAATGAAAGTTTAATAGGGGTTATGTCAATATCTTCATTTTAAAATGTGTATTTTTTGTTTAATACTTTTACGATGTTATGTATTACGTAGCGATAAATTGACATACCTTATATCGAGTAATTAGAAGATCGATTTTGGTATTATTTCATCCTTTTCCGAAGACCTTGGTGAACTGTGATGAATTTTATAGCTAAATTAAATTTCAAAGATCCAAAAATATTTTTGAAGCACAAAAATGATATTTATAAGAAAAAATATGGAACGACTATTTAACATAAATCCGTATAATTACCTAAGCATTGTTGACCTACGTAATAGGTACAAGTCCCCAGTAAGCTCCGTTTGACCCTCGTTAAATTACGAGCCTGTTTGGGAGTTATTTTGAGAATTGATTTTTTGACAATTGGGAGAAAATTAGGATCCACCTGTGAGAGAATAAGTCAAATATGATGACTGAAATAGTGAAATAACGATCGAAAAATCAATTTTTTTAGAAAAAATCACTCCCAAACATGCTCTACATTTTATTTTTCTTTCTTCTATTTTCAACAATACAATCTTTTATTAAATAATATTATAGAAATTTTTTCCTTCTTTTTTAACCATTCATTTTTCAAAAAAATATTATTCTACTCATTTTCATTTCTTGAAAATGAGGCCAAACATGACTAAGACTCATTTGGTGCTTTTAGGATTCCGCCACCCCTTTCCTCCGCGTTTCCTTCACGCCCACGGCCCACCTCCACCACGCCATTCTATAAATTCAATGTAAACCCTAGTCCCCAAACAACACAAAATCGATTCTCTTCCCACAAAATTCACACAGCGGAATTCCAACCTTACATTTTTCTTTTATATCCATTTCCCTTTTGTCGTTATTCATTTCAAATCTTCTCTTTCCAGATATTAACTTTTCTTCTCAAGGTTTTATTTTTTATTTTATCAAGAACTTTGCTCTATATATCAAATCTCTTTCCGGGTTACTTTCATACATCCAGGCCAGGCCTGTAACCATGTTATAGCCTTCAAAGTTTATCTTCTTTTTTTTTTCCTTCATTTTTTTGTGATATATATTTAACCAGGATTAGGACTTGGTTGCTCGACTATGGCGGTAGCATACCCACATTTTTTGGTATCCGAAAATCAAGCAACGGTTGAGCAACCAACATTAATGGTCTCCCCTGCCTCCGCTTGCCCGTCTGTAACCCTCACCCAGGATGATTTGAAAAAAATTGCCGCTTATAAGGCCGTGGAGCATGTGAAATCTGGCATGGTTGTTGGGCTCGGGACCGGTTCCACCGCGAAGCATGCTGTGGACCGCATCGCCGAGCTTATGCGCCAGGGAAAGCTTAAAGACATTGTTGGCATACCTACATCGAAAAAGACTCATGAACAGGCTGTTTCATTGGGCATCCCTTTATCCGATCTTGATTCTCACCCTGTTGTGGATTTAGCGATTGATGGCGCGGATGAGGTTGACCCTGGATTGAATTTGGTTAAAGGGCGAGGAGGGTCTTTATTGAGGGAGAAAATGGTGGAATCAGCTACCAAGAAATTCATCGTAATAGTTGACGAATCCAAATTGGTGAATTATGTTGGGGGTAGCGGATTGGCTATGCCTGTGGAAATTATTCCCTTTTGTTGGAATCATTCTTTGAAGAGGCTTGTGAGTTTGTTCCCTGATGCAGGTTGTGTGGGGGAGCTGAGGAAGTGCGTGGAGACTGGGAAGGCGTTTGTGACTGATAATGGCAATTATATTATTGACTTGTATTTCGAGAAGGACATGGGGGATCTGAATAAAGCCAGTGACTTGATTTTGAGGCTTCCTGGAATTGTCGAGCACGGGATGTTTCTTGGACTGGCCACCTCCTTGATTGTTGCTGGTGTGGAAGGCATCACCGTGAAGACTAAGATAGGAAATGAGTTGAAGGTAGATTCTTTTTGTTATACTGATTTGAGGAATGGATTTTTAGCTTAGGTTATTTAGATCTTTTGGCTAAGAAATTTTTAGCTACTAAGCTGGGGAGTTATGTAACAGGGAAGCCTTTTAGTGCTCCCTTTTCCTCCATTAATAAACTTCATTATTGATCATCAAATTTTGTTCTTGCATAATGCCAAATTTAATGAAGTATTGCTTCCTCAGTTTTGGTTTGCGCCCTTTGTTAATTGTATTGCTTAAGCTCACATATTCTTTTAACTCGTATCTGGTGTTTACAGTATTATCTTTAGTTTCTATCTGTTTTCTTATTCATTACATTTGCCAACAAGAGGCCATCAGCTGACCATAAGCAGAAAATTATATCAAATATTACACAGGAGGGTTTTACTGAATTGACGACAAACAACCACCTAAAGCCAAGTTCTTTGTAGAGCTTGAGTATAGAAAGGTCATTGAAGAGGTATAATTGGTAACTTTTAATTGTACAAATATGCTTGGATGCAGGTATTTGACTGCTATTTCAAGAACTTAGTATGAGAAATCAGAGGATCGTGACATTGGCTACCTTGTGTGGTGACTGAAAACACTTCTTATATTGCTAGGAGTAACCACAGTTGCTGAACTCTTCTCAAGTTGATATAGTGTTGATGGCAAGCAGAGTGACAAGATACACAAGCCATCGCCATTTCAAGAACCCACCAAGCAGAAGCAGCATCAAAATCTTCTGTTATATGATAAAAAACGACGAAGTTAATCTGCAACGCGCACACTTCTGTTCTTGATTGTTTTTTATGATCTGGTATGTAGAACTAATTGTACTTGATTTAATGTGAAAACTAAAATCATATATTATCTAAAAAACAAGGATAAATATATATATGTACAGAGGGGAGTTTACCGAATGGTGTCCCCCCTCTCACAATGTATGGCGGGCCCTGTGTGTATTTAAAAATGACGGCCCGTGGTACCCATCTCTATTGTGAGTAGTAGATAAAAGATTCGATAAAAAAATTCGGTACTTGTAGATTATCCAAAAAATAAATAGCACCAAGAGATGAACTGGGGAGAACACTACAATTTGAAAATAAATGTAGCCAAAGAAAAAGGCAAGTGGCAGGGAGAAAACACAAAGCAGCTCAGTAAAATTCCCTACATGGCTACATCCCAAAGAGAGGGAGAATTAGTCCACCAATCAATACTTCAAATTATACACTCTAATCACTCTCTCAACCTCTCTTTATCTAAAACTCGATATGCTCATTTCTATTTTACTCCTCCTCGTCATTGTCCTCCTCCTCCTAATCTCTCTCTCTCTCATTTTTCTTATTTTCTCTTTATCTAAAACTCGATATGCTCATTTCTATTTTACTCCTCCTCGTCATTGTCCTCCTCCTCCTCCTAATCTCTCTCTCTCTCTCTCTCTCTCTCTCTCTCTCTCTCTCTCTTTTTTCTTTTCGATATGCTCATTTCTATTTTACTCCTCCTCGTCATTGTCCTCCTCCTCCTAATCTCTCTCTCTCTCTCTCTCTCTCTCTCATTTTTCTTATTTTCTCTACCTTGTCATTCTCTCTGGCAGTAGCTCTTGGTGTTGTTGTTCTGTTTTATCACAAATCACTATACATATTAGACTGGTCGTGTGTGTATCTATATCACAACTTCACTGTTTTTGCATGGTAGGTTGCCATCTTCTCTTAGTGTGTTTCCATGCTCTTCAAATTTTCTTTCCTCTCTTTTCATTCAAAGATTTTACTTCCTTGTTTTTCATCTTCCCTTCTTTTATTTTTCTTCTGCTATATCAAAAATAGCCAATAGAAAAATCATTCTGAGGAAAAAAAAAAATCTAACAATAAATTGATTAATTCTCTGTGCTTCAATCATAATCCTGCAGGTCAACAATAATCATGGTGAGGCAAAAAATGAGCAATACGTATTTAAAACACTTCTACTTTTTGGTCAGAAAATGAAGGGCAGTATATCTTCTACTCGGAGGTAGAAACTAAATGGTCATTGTGTGTATTAGCTATCATCAATATTGGAAGTGTAATTTAGTTAAAGAAGTGTAATGTGTGATTTTATGGAGCTTTGTTAGGACGATGACTTGTAATCTAGTTACACACCTTAGACTAGACCTAACACTAAAAAATTCCGATCTTTTTTTTATTTTTATTTTTTTCGTTTTAATTATTTATTAGATGCAAATGCGAAACCTACTCTATACACAAAATAATAAAAGGGATAAGGGATGGGTTACCTCCCATCCAGCGCTCGTTAGTTTTTGCAACAATGTTTTCTTGGAGGCGTTGCAACCATTGCTTGTACTAGTTGACTTTACACCCTTTTTTGTTTAACCTCCAAAGTTTAATTTTGTCCTCAAAAAAAAAATATGACTCGTCATATCATCCAAGACTCAAACTCAACTGTGAATGCTTCAACTTTTACATTAGCCTTAAATCATAAAATCAACTTTAGATCTAACTTCATTAATGACACTCCAGCATAATGCTCCTCCATTAGGATCGGCTCCTCATTCTCCGCATACTTTTCTTCTTTAGATGGTGTTTTCTCCGATTGGATGACCATGCTATTATCCATTTTCTTGGGCAATTGAACAGGTACGTCTTCATGAAAAAGTCTTCCTCTATTTTTGTGGTTGGTGAAGCCTGGTAGAGGTGATTCCCATAACTCTCGTAAGAGTAAGTCATGTTTACCAACGGAAAAGTCACCCTCATCAATTTTCGATTTCGGAAAAAATAGTCCCACAAGCAAGTCACCCCCTCAATCTCAAGAAGTACATTATATATTGTCATATTAGCTCATTGCATGGCGAATAAATTTCCCACAAAGATGTCGCATTCATCAATTTCTACACATGCATCGTAAATTTCCTTCGGCCAAAAAATTAGGCCACTAACTATTTGAGCGATTGGAGTTTAGATATTTTGATCTCTAATAAATTTTGTGACATATAATTTAATTAAATAGGTCACGATCACAATAACACAATTTATGTTCGCAGTCTCATACTAGTCATAAATTACATAAGGTCAAAATTACGAAAGACAAAAAAAAAATTATTTATTATCTAGTTTATGAAATTGAAACTTTAATGGTAGGGCTTAAGGTAATTTTCCCATGACAGAAAGTTGCTGATTCATATAATGGGCTCTAATGTATTGGTGTAGGTCGATGGGGCTTTGGGCCACTGTGGATAATTCTCTAACGTACGCACGCGCACAAAGCTATACATTAACAATCCTTAAAAAGTTATCTAAGTTTTCTTTGTTTCAATTAATTTGTGTAGTTGTGTTTTTCTATTCCCATGTACTCACAGTCAGTCACTGTTCTAAGTAAATTTTTAATTTTTGTTTTGTACAAATCACGTTCCAAGACTATTAGATCCCAAGACTTTTTCCAAAAACATAACTGGTATTAGATCTCGATGCCATTTATACATTACATAGAATATATACTTGGAGTCCATTTGCAGAAGAAAAAATGAACTCAAATATATATTTTGGCATCCTTTGTTACTTTGTGTACTTTTATATGCTATCTAAGAAATGAAGCTAAGGCTCAACTTTAATTGAGCTCGTTACTCTTGCTTTAAGCTGTTTTTTGCTTACACATGGCCACTTAGATGCATATATTTCCTATACAAAATTATTAAGGCCCCGTTTGTTTCCCATTTTCTCAAAAATGAAAATAAAAAATATAGCCATTACGAGGCCACACAAGAGATAAAAATTCAAATTTAGTGGCTTGATGTGATGGACAACGGTCATATTTTTCACTTCAATGAGAAAAGAATGGGAAACAAACCGGGGCTAAATACATTTCTTGAAGATTAGTCAAACGATAGTGAAATCAAAGGCGAATACGTCGTAAATAATGTAGAAATAGTTGATCGAAATAAAATAAAAAAATAGAATGTGGAATAAAATTGGGAAATCAGGCTTAAGCCATGCGTACGTATTGATCAAAGCCGGTCCTGAGGCGAGGCAGATGAGGCCTGCGCCTCAGGCCAAAAACCGAAGGGGGCATCTCCGTCGGAATCGGTCTGAGAAATGTTCTTGGGAGTGTAGATTGTGAAATGGTAGCAGAAAGCAGGGATGGATAGAAATCATGAAATCGTTAAAATAGAAGTAGACAGCAGACAAATTCAATTGGTTTTGGCTGTGAAATGGATGAAATGGCAACAGACGGTAGATAGCAATTTTGAAACCACAAACAACAGCACCAACAACTGTAAAATGGCAGGGTTGGATGAGATGAAATGAAGAAGATAAGATTGGCTTAGGCTTTTTAGTTTTATTTTTTAGTAACAGGCTTTTGTTTTGGGCCCCATATTATTATTATTATTAATTTTATAGATAGAATCCAAATATCCATTTTAATTAGATTTGGTTAAGAAATCAGACTTTAAACCATTCAGTACAAATTCAATTTTCACCCTCTCTCTACGACCTCATTTATCTCTCTACTGTTTCTGCGTTGCACTCTCTTATTCTCTCTCTATATCTATATATATATGTATGTAATTGCTGAATGGAATCAAATCTTCAGTTTGTAGGAGCTTCATTTTCGGATTTTTTATTTTGGTTTAAATGGAATTTTATTTACGGAAAGTCGAGAATTGGACGTATTTGAGTATATGTTTCTCCACTGGTTTCAAGATAATATGTTTTTTTGTTTTTTTGTTTATTCTTGCTTTGACTATGAATCAACGTATTTGAGTATATTTTTCTCAACTGAAAAAGTATAAAACAAAAGTTCAGAACATGATTAAAATGCTTTATTTTTTATGGAATGAATCAAGATTTTTACGTTGATTTTGGGGGCCCAATTTATTAAGTTCGCCTCGGGCCCTGAAAACCACAGGACCGGCCCTGGTATTGATTATACTATGATTATACTATGCGTAGGTATAGGGTTAAAAACTAGTAATTGACTGGTTTTTATATTTGAAACCTGGTGTCATTTTGGATTAAAAATAAAAAATAAAAAAAATCCGTCTTTTCATCTTGTTTTGGTACCAATTCGTATAGTATTGGTTGAGAACTATAAATAGGTGATTAATGATCAACACAAAACACATTCAAACCACTTAAGATCAAATTCCATTCCACAAAAAAGCTTAGAAACTCTTTTCTTTCTTATTCAAAATTCTATTTTTGTGTTCTTGAGTTTTGAAGAAATTTCATCGGTACTTAAGTGTTTATTCCTTTTCAATGCTTGATAAATCCTGCAAATCATTTATCAAGAGTCCCTTTGAGCTTCAAATTCAACCTAAGAAGGCAAATATCATTTGAGGACAACGATTACTTGTTTAAGCCTTTGAATTTTTCTTCAAAGTTCTTGATTCTATTCTTTTGTTTCTTCTCATTTCCTCTTATTTGGAAATATTAATCCCAAAAATCTTAAACAATATTCTACAATAGAGAATGAAACCACCATGTTGACAATCAAGTTGACTAATCAAGACCTTATTCGTTTGGACCGTTTTGATGGGATGAATTTTACAATGTGGCAAGACAAGTCGAAGTTTCTCTTAGCGGCATTGACAATCTGCTACATTCTTGATCCCAAATTGGCCCCATTTGTGGAGCCAACGGATGAAGATGCGAAAGCCATAAGGATGGAAAAACAAAAGCATCAATAGGATGAACTCACATGCTGTGGTTATATTCTCAATGCGTTATCCAATTAGTTGTATGATCTCTGCACCAACACTTTTTTGGCAAAAGACATTTGAGATGAGTTTAAAAACAAATAAAAAGTCGAAGAAGAAAGTACAAAATTTTTCATATCAAGGCATTTTGATTTTAAATTTCTTGAAAATATTATCCTTCTTTCCTAAATGCATAAATTGTAAGTTCTTGTCAATAAATTGAAGGTGGTCAAAATTGAAATTCTAAAATCTTTCCAA